AAATCTTCAAATTTTTTTAAATGAAATTTATATATTCATAAACTACCTAAAAAATATTATAAGTCACAATAATTGACAATTTAAAATATTTAATAGATTTATGAAAAATTTACGGTCAAAGATAGACATGTTTGAATCTCAAAATCTGAAAAGTGTCACGTAAATTGGAATGGAGAGAGTAAATTATTGGGCTTAAATTAATTGATGATCAATCTACTTTTTTTTTTTTGGTTAACAATCTACTTCATTCTTTTATTTGAGTAGTTTTCTTGCTCGCATTACTTTCTCTATTTCAATTTTGAAGTGGCATTTGGTTTTATGTTCTATCACACCATTAGAGTTAAAGTGAGACTTTTAATAAATATAAATAAAAGTGAATTCAAAAGTTTAAGAAAAGTTTCTCATTTTATTGAGACCAAGGTCCAAGGTTGAACTTTCACATGGTTCTTTCTGAGTAGATTTTCTCCTAATATGTATGATTAAGATTACTGTAATAATTAAGTTATAATTAACATTTGTTTGCTTCATAGTGGGTGTTGCAGGTTGTTTGGACCTGGAGTTGTCAAAAGGATTTGTCCGGCCCAACCCAATTGTCTTAACAGGCTATCTAAGAGCCCAACCCAATTCACTCCATTTGAAACGATCTTCAAAACACTACAAGAAACGATTCATATTATTTTGGGTTATTAGCACATAAATTGTATTTAAGATCCTACATTACTAAACATAATTTTAGTTCAGATATAACAATTCCTAATTCCTACGCGTCTTAGTTTAACCCGTTAATTTAATTATTAGCACTCGAACATTATTGTATTACTCCCTCTAATCTCAATTTATATAATATAGTTTGACTTGACAGGGTGTTCAAAAAGGAAATAATAACTTTTGAATTTTGTGATCTAAAATAAGTTATAGATACTTCTTTGGTGATAAATCATAGCATTAAGTCGTAAAATAGACATTTAAAAGTTAAATTATTACTACTAAATATTGAATTGTATCATTCTTTCACACTAACTAAAAAGAAAATTGAATCATAGAAACTAAGATAGAGAGAGCAATAGATTAAAATGATGTAATAACGATAGAAGAAACAAATAAACGAATAGTAAAATGGAGTTTTTGAGCTTCGATAACGTATGCGGAAAAATTTATCATGGTAGACGCCCAACCAACAAAAGGTGTGTGAGGCTCCATTTATTTTTTGACACATGGACAAGTAGGCCATTTATGTACTTTTCTACTTTAAAGCAAGAACTTTCTACAACTAACAAAAGAGAGAAAATATATTTACACATAAATTGAGTTGAACAAATATAAAAAATGCAAGAAAAATTATGTGTGTTTGCTACTTTTTTTTAATCATTATTAATATTATATTAATTTATGGGATTATACCGGATATATTATTGTTGTTGTAGTTATATGTTAGTTTGACAAATTTATTTTGATATGATATTTTTTTTTGTGTATTCATGTTTTGTTTTTTTTATAAAAAAATTCTTTCATAATTATTGTGATTTTAAAATGTAGTCATTTTATTTTAATTGTTACGATCTGAAATGTCGATTGTTACCTTATTTTTAAATTAGAACTTTTGAAGGAAAGTAAAAAAAGTTAATTATATTATTATTGTGGGGATGATTGCTTAAAATAAAGTATCACTACTCAAAGAAATAGTTTTTAAAAAGTATCGTTATCCTAATAACATTTTTTTAGTTCAATTTGTGTAAAATTTCAGTTGATGTAGAATGTACGATTTTTCATCATTACAATTTGATCATTAATTTTTTTTTATTAAAATAGTATTTAAAATATTCTCTTGAGTACATTTTGTTTATTTTAATTTTTAAAAAATATTGTATGATCATTGGTAAATTTGTGAAATAATAATTTATTTTAATTAAAAATGGCTAGATATTAAAAGAGAATCAAGATCTGAAAAACTAATTTTTTTATTTCTTTTCAACATCAACGAGGATGTCAACTTTTTTCAAACATCAACGAAAACGTTAATTTTTTATTTAAAAAATACACATTTAGTTTGAACATCAAATTATGTAATTTTGATTTTTAATAAAATTAACAAGACCATGATTTGATTTAAGAAACAACGTTACAAATAAAATTCAAAAAAGTTATTTGATTAAATGAGCATTCAACAAGTATAAAATGTGGACCCTACAGTCATCTTTTATTATATTTTTATAATTATTCAGTGAATTGTATTATATCTAATAAGATATATATTATTTTACTTTTGTTATTTTAGTTTAGGTTTAAAGTTTTACTTTTTTAAAACTATTTCTTTTGAATAGTGATACTTTGTTTTAAACGATCATCCCCACAATAATAATATAATTAACTTTTTTTTACTTTCCTTTAAAGGTTCTAATTTAAAAATAAGGTAACAATCGACATTTCAGACATTTTAAAATCACAATAATTATGAAATAATTTTTTTTTTAAAAAAAAACACAACATGAATACACAAAAAAGTTATCATATCAAAATAAATTTGTCAAACTAACATACAACTACAACAACAATAATATATCCAGTATAATCCCATAAATTAATATCATATTAATAATGATTAAAAAAAAGTAGCAAACACACATAATTTTTCTTGCATTTTTTATATTTGTTCAACTCAATTTATGTGTAAATATATTTTCTCTCTCTTGTTAGTTGTAGAAAGTTCTTGCTGCGAGCACTGAATCCGATGTTGTGAGCTTTAGGTATGAGAACGATATAGTAGAAAAGATGCTATGAAATAAAAACTTAATGCATTAGTAAAGTTTGGAACACAATAATATAAATATATTGTTGTTGTATTTCTTGGGATACAACTGAGGGAAATAAACAATTTATAGGTTAAAAGAATTAAGCATCAATCAATAGAAAAACTTTACTTGAGCCCTAAGATATCAGTGATGTATGCTAATATTTCTTTATTACATTCAAATTATTTGTGCGATAGTATCTAACGTATTTGTCAATTTATGTGTCAATTTTAATTAAATTTTTGAAAGACAACTAATCTTTTCTTTGATCAATTTTTTTTATAAATATTTTATTCAAAGCTTACCTGATTCAAAAAAAAAAGAAGTATTCTAAAAAAAGAGAAAAGTTAGGGGGCTGAGAAGCTCTTGCTTGCTGCTTGCTGTCTACTTCGCGAGCCTTCACTGTCCCGTTCTGTAACTTCCCTTCTTTCGTCCGTCCACGAGGCTGTAAAAAGAGAGAAAGGGGCGGCTATCTAGCGGGAGTCGTTTCGGTTGTATGGTTATAGTTATTAATAGTAAATTTACGTAATTTTTTAAATTTTAAATTTATTTTTAAAAAAATTAAATTCACACTCAAAATTTAGAAACTACAAATATACTATATAAATTTAGACATGAAAAAGTAAGGTAATTAATTAACTTCCGTTTAGCGCGTAAGGAAGTTCCAAATATACCCATGTCCACAAAGTCATTCTTTAGTCTTTCGAATTTGATGACATTTCAGTTGGTCTATTTTAGTCTTCTCATCTCAATTTTTCTGCTCCTCTTTTTATAGAGTTGATTAAAGTGAAACCCACTCGGGATGATTTGTACGCAAATGCGAAATATCTTATGATATTAACGACCACAAATAAAATATACTATATAGAGTATCAAATATAATATATGGTTAACAACCTCAAAAAGAATTTAATACACACAAATGCAAAATACTTTATTATTATGATCATTAATAATAAAGATTCTATTATGTAGTGGGATGGATGATATCAATTCATATTTAACGAAATATCCTGGTTCAAACTCTAAGAACGAAAAAGTTTGATAAAGAACACTTTATTTTTAAACAAACCTTATATAATATTGAATTTAAATTAATCTAATTAATGAGTGCTCCAAATATTAGATAGCTAAGAGAAACTAAAGATAATACTCCTTCAAGCTCCGTGATATACGAAGAAGGAACGCGGTGTTAATTTGTAAAGAAACTTCTTGATTCCTACACTTTGATTTAAATACCTTTTGAGGGCGATAGAGGAAAACGTTAAAGAGTTTCATTTGATATATATAGCATTGAAGGGAATTTATTCTAAACTTGTAAGCTTGGTGATGAAATTGTAAAATTTGTATTCACATCACATGTTGACATTTTGGGTGAAATCGTGGAGATACTTTTTAGGGGCTTTTTGTGGCAATTATGTAGGCATTTGTTCACCAAATTAAAGCTTAGGGATATTTGATTAGTGAATATATATAGCTAAGGTACTCCTAATATTTACATAAAATTCTAAGCGTCTAACTTCAACTAAAAATTAAAATATATATTCATCCGTCTCAATTTATATGACTTAGTTTGACTTGACACAGTTTTAAAAAATGATTACTTTTTGAACATAGGGGTCGTTTGGTTGGGAACAAGTTATTCATGTTGGGATATATACTATTAACCATATGTTTAGATATAATATTTATTATAGAATAAATATTTATTCAGTTTTAATAGATCATATATTCGTTTATGGTGTCTGTTTACTTATATAGTAGATGATTTAGTGTATAGAGTTTTAGCTTATACACAAATGATTAAATTATCGGTTTTTATAAGTATCGAAAAAAGGCCTTAATGGCTTATACAATCTTACTAAATGGACAAATTCTAACTCCCATGCATAAACAATCAAAATCGCTTATTTGACATAAGTCGTTAAAATTGCATGAAATTAAATCTAAAGTAAATGTCAAATTTCTTATGCTTTGTAATCAATTAATTACACTAGCAATCAACACAGAGATTCATGAAAGCAAAAGCAAATTTTAGCTTATAAGCAAACAAAAACATTCTATATTTTATTTCATGCATATAAATTTGAGTGTACATGACTACATAGGTAACTAGAGATACATAGCTCATACATAAAAAACCCTTTATTCAAACATTTCATGAAAGGAAATAAAGTGATCACATTTTAAATCTGTAGCTAACTCCCGGCCTCAGAAGTCATACTCATCGTGATCCAACAGAAGCCAAGATCCATCTTCTTGTTGAACCATTCCTTTGTTTTTCTCAACCCACCAAAACCCAGGAATGCAATATTCATCTTTCAATACGTCCCACTGCTTGTTAACAAGTGAGATATCGCGATTCACCTCTAATTTAAAACCTGCTAAACCTTGAGTGCCAGCAACTCCATGCAAGTACGGCTCCAGCAAATGCCAGCTGAAAGGTTCTCCAGGAGGCCTTACATAGGGAGATTTTGTGGTGTCAATCATTAGCTCCTGCCCAACGTCGAAATAACCTATGGGTGGGTATTTTGGAAAAATATCCAACAAGTTATGAATTTTCAAAATACGAAGGCTTTTTATTTTGTCAAATGCTGCCTTAAATTGGAGATCTCCAACTTTAGGACTTGCGAATGGAAAGGCAGTCACTGGGAACTCCTTGCCTTCACTTGTTTTGTTGATTCCATTGAAAGCTATATCCACTGCATTTAGAGTTGCAAGGGATGCACCTAGACTATGTCCAGTCACAGTTATGCTCACCTCTTCATGCTTATATTCTTCAACCAATCTTTTCACTTCTTCAATTACCTAAAAATCGAATAGATTGGGATATTTTTAGCCTTTTTTCGATAAATAAATAAATAGTTAACATGTACCTGATCTCTGGCACTAGTCAGATTAAACTGTGATCTTGAACTCGCTGATGTATAAACATTATAGAAGCCATTATGCACCAAAGGTTGAAGCAAACCTCCATCACCAAAAACTTTGGGTGCTGGGACAAGTAAAAATTGAAGGTCATTAATAAACTCCAGCTTCTGCTGAGTTCCTCTCCAATTAATCACAATATCCCTCCTTCCTAGTGAAACTTTACCCTCATCAGTAGCCACAGCAATATATCCCATAAAATTTGATTCCTTACTCCATGCTTCCCTTGACAATGATTTCGTAATGAAAGCATCAGGAAGTGGAATAGATGAGGTAGCATAGAAATATTTGGTCACGCGATACTTGTTTGGGTCAAGTCCAAACCTTGTAAAAAAGGGTTTTTCCATAGAGTATCTGCTAGCTCCTGCATATTTGGACGCTGTTTCTGTTATGAAAGTGTCATAGATTGCTTGACACAATTCTCCGTATTGAATGATATATTTACGAAGATCAATATCCAAGGGGTTTAATAAACCATCCCAATTGTTTTTCCCACTAAGTTCCTCCCATTTCTCAGCCATATCACTCCTCTCTTTTCTTTTTTTTTAATGTATTTTATTGTTTTTCTTTCTTATTTTGCTATCATCTCTTCTTCATATTGCCCATTTCAAATGCCAATTTATAGTGAAGTGACTTCATTTTTTTTTTACTTATCATGAAACAGCTTCTAATTTTTAATTGGATTTCAGAAAATTCAATAAATAAGCAAAGATTAGAATGGGTCCCGTATATTTAAAGGATTTGATACATCTTATTTAATTTGGTTAAAGTTTACATACTCAAATAATTTAAAGTTTATTATGTTTGCCAGCAGCTAAAATTTAACTCACGGTAAAAGAAAATTACTCCACTTTTTTTTTTTTTTTTAAGAATTTTCTGACGTTATGTTCAGTATTCGTATAGGGACCTAATTAAATCTGAATTCACGCCGTAAAGTTCCACATTAGAGCTAAAACATTCCTTAATAAAAGTGATTATGTACTCAATATGGCTCAATTTTAAAATCTCTAATTAAAAATAAAAAAATATTTACTACTTCACCATAATCATGCATGGTTGGTTTTTGAAGTCCCACATTGGTACTTTAACCTTCGTTGAGTTAACAATTAATGCACAGACCGTAATTTTTGTTTTATTTCTTAATAGTTGATTGGATGTATTATTAAAAAGAATATAATTAAGAGCCTGTTTGAATTGAATTAAAAAAATAATAAGTTAAATTTAAATAATTTTTAAGTTAAAAACAAAAAAGTAAAAAGATTATTACTTTTGAGTTTTAACTCATTTTAAACTTATTTTAAATTATTTTTTAACTTTATCACACACTCACAAAAGATAAAAATGACTTAAAAGTAAATTTTCAATCCAAATATAGTTTCTGACTTTCTGGGAATACGCAATCCCAATGATGTACCAAATCTTGTAGCTAGGATATTGTATACGTAGCTTTCCTATCGTAAAAGATGTTTGAATTATTAGGGGTCGTTTGGTAGCTGGATAGAGTTATGCAGATATTAGTAATGTAGGTATAAATTATACATGTATTAGTTATGCAGAGTTTAATTATACATGTATTAGTTATGTAGGATTTAGCTATACATATATTAGTTATGTAATATTTATTTATGTAGAGTTTAGTTATATAGAGATTATAATATATTAGTGAGTCAATTTTTATTTCTTAATTTCAAAAGTTATGAGTGATCTAATATTTATTATAACCATTAAAATTACTAACTATATAAATAACACGTTAAAATTAAATGAATATCATTAGCTAAAAATAACAAAGTAAAATACAAATAACTAAAAGTAATTAAGTAATTTGTATTCAATATGATTAAGTAATTAAGTAGTATGTAATTTAAATTAAACCAAATTGATAACTAAAAAAAATTTAAACTTGTATCTTCAAGCAAAAAAAAATAAAACTTGTATTTTAAGCAAAAGAAAATAAAACTTGTATTTTGAACTAAAAAGAAAATAATTAACAAGAATTTAAGCAATTATCAAGACAAAAAACTCAAAGAAAACAATGGTAGTTCTTTTTTAATATGTATTAATTATTTGATGTTTTGTAAATTAATATATATTTAAGAGTAAATTGATAGGCTAAATATGTAATTTACCATTTTAATACATGAATAACTAATACCCACATAACTTATTTCGCCATTTTTTCCGCATAAATTATATATAAATTTCCTCATAAGTTATACAAATATTAATTATGTAGGATTACAAAAAACGCAACCAAACACCGTATAAAAATAATACATGAATAACTTTTATACAACATTTGAAAGTCTGCCAACTAAACGTTGTATAAAATTAATATATAAATAACTTTTATCTATTTGCAAACCAAACATGGTATAAAATTAATACATATTTTATTAGCTTTGGCCTTATCTAGCTACCAGATGACCCCTTTAATGTATTAAATTTAAACTCATTTTTGATAGCCAACTTGACTTGCAAAATAAAAAAGTACCTTAGAAAAATGTAGAGGGATTCCCCTAATCCTAATTTATGTGTCAATATTAAAATTTTGGAAGTCAACTAATTTTTTCTTTGATCAATTCTTTTTTATAAATATTTTAAGTTGTTAGTTATATTTATTAATAGTGAGTTTACTTAGTTTTGAATTATAAATTTATTTTTTAAAAAATTCAATTCACTTATAGAAACTATAAATATACCACATAAATTTAAACATGAAAAATAAGGTAGTTAATTAACTTTCGTTTAGCGCGTAAAGAAGTTCCAAATCTACCCGTGTCCACAAAGTCACTGTTTAGTCTTTCGAATTTGATGACATTTCAGTTGGTCTATTTTATAGTCTACTAATTTCAATTTTTCTGCTCCTCTTTTTCTAGAGTTGATTAAAGTGAAACCCACTCAGGGTGATTTGTACGCAAAAGCAAAATATCTTATGATATTAACAACCACAAATAAAATATATACTATATCATTATAAGGTTAACAACCTCAAAAAGAATTTAATACACACAAATATAAAATACTTTATTATTATGATATTGATAATAAAGATTCTACTAGAAGACGTAGTGGTATGGATGATTTCTATTCATATTTAACGAAATATCTTGGTTCGAATATTAAGAATAAAAAAGTTTGATGTAGAACACTTTATTCTTAAACAAACCTTATATAACAGAGTTTAAATTAATCGGATTAATGAGTTCCAATACTTCTTCAAGCTCCCCGATATAGGAAGAAGGAACGTGTTAATTTGTAAAGAAACTTGTTGATCCCTACACTTTGATTTAACCACCTTTTGAGGGCGATAGAGGAAAACGTTAAAGAGTTTCATTTGATATGCGATATAGCTTTGAAGGGAATTTATTCTGAACTTGTAAGCTTGGTGCAGAAATTATAAAATTTGTATTCACATCACATGTTGACATTTTGGGTGGAATCCTGGGGATTCTTTTTTAATTTTAGGGGCTTTTTGTGGCAATTATGAAGGCTGTTCACCAAATTAAAGCTTATGGATATTTGATTAGTGAAAATATATAGCTGAGGTACTCCTAATATATATTTACATCAAATTCCAAGCGTCTAGCTTCAACTAAAAATTAAAATACATACTCCTTCGTCTCAATTTATATGACTTAGTTTGATTTGACACAAACTTTTTAAAAAAGAAATACTTTTGAAACTTCTGATCTAAAACAAGTCATACATGTTTGTGTGAGTGTAAATTATTTCATTAAGAGTAAAATGAACATTTTGTACTAAATGTAGAAATATATCATTTTTTTTTGGATACTTAGTAAGTCGTATAGTATTAAGTAATAAGTGGATATGAAATTAAAACACAAAATTACTCTTTTTGCTTCATGACATAATATTAATGAATACACTTTTTAATAACTTCATAAAGTTCCAATGGATACAAAGACACAAATACTACATGCAAAAAGCTTTTGCATGTATACAATCAATATTTTTTTCAATTCTTAATACAACAACTTAACATATAAGAAATTAAAACATATAGAATGCTTGCTTATCTATGCTATGTTTGGATAAGAAGACATCTTGGCGATATCACAAAGACCTCCAGGATTCCCAGAATCTCTTATAATTTTCATAAATCCATTCTCACCCCAAGTTGTTCCCCATGAATTCTTCAACAACCAATATTTCTGACCTTGCTCATCAGTTCCATATCCTATCGCCGTAACAGCATGGTTAATTTGATCGGCACAGCTTCCCTGATAAGTTCCTCCGGCGTAAAATTGTAATTCTTGGCTAGCAGCAATTCCAATTGACACTGGTTGTTTAGTTACGGCTTGTAATAGTGATGTTTCATCTGCAGGCACGACTTGATAACTACTTATTTGCACTGCTGCTGTTTTCTCTTGGCTTCTGCATGTGTATTGTTTACCTTGGTATTCATAATCTGATTCAATTGAAATTCCACCATTTTCTATGATGAAATCGAATGCATTCGTCATGAAACCTCCATTGCAGCCAAAATTGTTGGTGGTGGTGCAATCGAGAAGTTCTTGTTCAGAGAATTCCATCAAGTTGCCTGTTGCAATTTTGTAAGCTCCTTCTAGTGATCCAATCGCAGAAAACGCCCAGCAACATCCTAACATACAAAAATACCTAATTAATATCCAAATTTATCGTGAATAATATTGCATGTACCAATTAATTAAACTGTTATATATATATATATATTGCGTCTTACCACATTGACCTTGATTCTTCACTTGAGTGACAGCCCCAGACTCTCTCCAGTCCAAGTTAGACGGCATGTCATCATCACTAAGATCATTAATCTTAAATTCCGTTGATGACATTGGAGAAGGTGAAAGATATGAAGGTACGTTTAATCCAGTAAATTTAGCCAAAAACTCTTCTGAAGTAATATCTGCAAATTCATTGATCCCTAACTTGTAAGACAGATTCCCTGCCTTATTGATCGACTCAATGAATTTCATGTTTTCTTTGAAAATCATGAATCGTTCTCCTTTTTCTACTTCGTCCTTGTAAACGCGTCCATGACGTGACATCCACTGTTCGTGTCTCTCAGACACGGATAGTTTTGGCTGGCTGCGAGCTGTTGTTTGAGAGTTAAACATGCTAATTACAAAGAATAGTGTAATTAAAATACTCATCGAATCAATTTTCATTGCCATGGTTAGTGTAGAGGGGAAAATTATAGGGTAGATCAAAAGAATATTGTTGTAAGATATTTATGTAAGAAGCTTGGATTTTATGTCTTCAGTAGCAAGGCGTTTATATAGTGGCGTAGATGAGAAATTCTATTGTAGGTTAATGGTTGAAATTAACCTACTTTTTAGTCAACAACTGGACCCCAACAGTTTTGGAAAAGTAGTCCTGATTGATTGGTTTTTTAGATTTATTGATGGAAATTTGATGCTCAAGTATGTATTCCTTATTTTAATTTTTTCCAGATTATTATTGACTTCTGGATTGCACTGTACTAGTCTTTGCTTGTCTAGGAAGTTTCAATTGAAGTATCTATATAGAAAAAACTAAACTAATTAATTACACAATATGTATTGTATTGTGTAGATGTGTTTAGCAACAATATAATTTGGATCTTATAATCTTGGCATAATATAATTGTGCAACAGTACCGCTCCTAAAAGAGGATACACATTTTACAAAATAAACCTATATCTACATATAATTTTGTTGGTGAAAAAAATTTGTCTAGAATTTTGAATTATTCATTTTCTTTAACATAAAGCCTCACTTGAGTATTATTTGTTGTGTGAGTGACAGATGGATTCAAAATTTTAAGACCATGGTTGCAGCACAAATGTTAAAATACTCTATTTTTTTTGGTTTACTCATCTTGTATACGTACATATGCATCTTTGTGCCCAACTAGCTTCAAATTTGCACTAGTTAGAAAGTTCCACATTATATTAGGGGTAAAACGGCTTCTAAAAAGGCGACTCTTTGCCCAGGACTTGAATTTGAGATCTATGATTAAGAATGAAAGAATACTTATCATATCATAATAATGTCGTGTTTAATTTGTAGTGTTTTTTGACTTATTATTAATTTTACAGAGTATTTATATATCAAAAGAGATAAATAAACTTTTGTTAATCTAAATTTGTATTTTTCATTAATGTTATCAATTATTATATATGCAAATACAAATATTGAATACTAATAATTATCTTAAACCTCTTTAGGGCAAAAGAGAAAAATAAATTTGGATTGAAACAAGAAACTTAGAAAAGTAACTATTGACCTGGAGTGCCTTCTAGCACTATATAGCAAAATATGAAACTTTTTATAGAGAAAATTTACTTGTATATATTGTTGAGAGTATAATTAAATAATAAAAAATATATTTTTCAATAATTTAAATTTTTAGATAAAAGGTCGCAATCATCAAAGCAATTAACGGAGTGTTTCCTTCCGTAACAGGGAAAATCCCTTATTCTAAATCTTTTTGATAAGAAAGCCCATCCTAGAAGGAAGCCTGTCCGCAAGAACTGGTCACACACTTTAATGTGATAGCAAAGCACACAAAGGTGCTTATATCGAATCTCATAGGTCATAGCCACTAATATCAAAACAAATTTCTGCAAGAAAAATACTGCTCCCTCTGTCTCAATTTATGTGACACATTTCAGATTTCGAGATTCAAACAAGTCTATCTTTGACCGTAAATTTTTTCTATTTTTTAAAAATATTTTGAATTATAAATTATTGAGACTTATAGTACTTTTTATGTAGCTTACAAATACATAAATTTCATTTAAAAAAATTTGAAGATTTCACGAGCAAATTCTCGGTCAAACTTAAACTATTTGACTCTTGAAAAGCGAAATGTGTCACATAAATTGAGACAGCGGGAGTAGAATGGATTCACATTCACCAAATTTCATACCGTGGATCCAGCACTCACTTTGTGTCTCACACCAAATAAAATTTATTTAACTCAATAAACGTTATGTTGTTGCATTTTCCCAGCGCCAGTCGTTCCTTTCGTCCATGTCAAGTCAACGGAGAAGTATTCACCGCTTGCGTTCTTACGTACTTAACCACGAATATAATATAGTACTCCATCCGTTTATTTTTATTTATCCATTATATTTCAATAAAAAATTTATTTTTATTTATCACTTTTAATATATAAAGAAAAGATAAAAAAAAATCTATGTTTTACTCTTAGCATTAATTACTTATTCATCAAATCATTTTTGAACATTTAATATTAAATATCAATTAATAGAGAATATATCGTGTAAAATAAACGAAAAAAGTAATTTCTACTTTTTACCAATCACAATAATGAAAATATTAATTAAAGCTTTTGAGTTTGAACAACGTAAATGTAGAAATTCCTTTATTAAAGAACATATATACTGCCTCAAACTTGAATTAGTCTGGTCAATAATATTGAATATCAATGATTATACTTTCTTCGTCTTTTTAAAATTTTGATTTGATATATCTATTAAAAATATATTGATTGGTATAATGAATTTACCAATTATTTCTATTAATTGATAGAATCTTAAATATATTTACTCACTTATATTTTTTAAAGATATTAACTCTATGTTAATATATTGAGAGTATAATAAGAAAAAATAAATTGTTCTTAATTTATCAAAAATAATAAATAGAAAGACCATTAAATTAGAAAACATTAAACAAGTAAATAAAGAAGGAAGAAATAACAAATAAAAAAGTTTACTTTTGTGGTGTTCGTAAATTATGCGCAAATGGAGTCTCCTCAAATTCCCTCCGCCTATTAAGCCAGTGGAAAATGAGATTACTTTTTCTTCGTGTTTTTTTTTTTCTTTACCAAAGTAGATAAACGACAAAATTCCGATTGGTGTTTAAAGGAAAAAAAGAAGAAGAAGAGAAGATGCATTTAAACTTCCATAATGGAATACGGTAGGGTTATAAATGGATGTGTTGGGTTGAGTTGAAATTGGAGATAGTAAAAGAGGAACTTTCACGTATAGCCATTCAAAAATAGCTGGAGGATAGAGGCGAGTGAGAGAGGGCAGAGAGTAGAAGAGAGGTGGATTGTATATGTATATCGGTTAGATAATTGTATATTATACATATGTATTTGTATATGCTGGCGAGATAGATTGGGAGAGGGAGGAGAGAGGCGAGCGAGATTGGGAGAGGGAGGATAGAGGCGAGTGAGAGAGGGCAGAGAGTAGAAGAGAGGTGGATTGTATATGTATATCGGTTAGATAATTGTATATTATACATATGTATTTGTATATGCTGGCGAGATAGATTGGGAGAGGGAGGAGAGAGGCGAGCGAGAGAGGAGAAAAATTTGTATAATTCGCAGGTACGCTTGTATAATTCACGTGTTTTTGTATAATTGGGTAGTATATATATAAAGTTTGGAATTATACAAATATAATAAAACTCGAAATAACGAATTGATACAAACATAAATGTATGAACTTTAAACAATTATACAAATTACATTATATAAATTATATTATACAAAATCCAAAAACTACACGTTTATACAAACTTTTAAAAGTTATACAATGATGACAAAACTGAAAAACCAAAGGAAATCATTGTCATATACAAATACAAACAATCGTATACAAATACAAATCAAACAAAGAATTGTTAGCTGTGAATTATACAAATGTGGTGAATTATACATATACAAATGTGACTAAGTATACAAACTCGAAATCAACTCACGTAATTAATGTATAATGTTAGTCGCGAGTGGTAATTATAGCAAACTATAGCTATGATGAGTAATTAAGTAGTATAAGTTTGCTTAATCGCGTAATTTTCCCATATTAAAATGAGTTGAAAATAGAAATTGAGTTGGGTCCTGACCCGTTCAAGTTTCCTTTAAGCTAAAATGGGTTGGGTCTTGACCAGTCCAATTTGACCCGCTTAATCTCAATAATTATAATATATTGTTATTTAGGTTTTATAACCATAATTTGAATTCCAACTCAAGAAATTTTTTAAAAAAGGAAGTTATAAATTGATAGATAAATCTTAAAAAATATAAAATGGATAGTAATTCATACCTTAAATATAATATTGAAATTAAGGATTAAATTGGACTCAATTGAAGATTCTCTTAAAATGAGTTAGGATTGAATGAATTGAGATTGAACCTAACTCAAATTATCTTGAGCCAACCCTTAAAATTATGAACTGATTAGAAGGGTTACCTATAATTAAGCTCAATTTTAACACCTCTACTATATTCTAATTGATTACAACTGGTGTTCATATTTAAATTTTAACAATTTTTTATCAGTAAATAGTAACGATCATACATATGCTTGTTGAGGAGTCTTACTCCCACGTAACGAAAGTTTGATTTCCCACCTTGTAATTTCTCTCTATTTTTCATTTCCCCTTTCCTTGCCCTTTTTTTTTTAAAAAAAAAAATCATACATATATGCATGTTGATGTTTTACTACAAATATATCAAAAATAATATCTCAGATGATCACTCAACTATGTATTCTTTTCACGGACCACCCATTGAGTGATAGACTAGTCTAAAAAAGCATCAACCAAATTTCTTACTAGACATGCCGAGGATTAGTGATAGCTGGTTGAATTTTCAATCTTCCATTCTTAGGTATATTAGTATAGTCAGCTCTCGTGCGTAAATTGTTCTAGTTTTCCTGAATTAAATCCCTCTGCATTCAGTTGATTTTTCTATTATTTCGAATTAATTCTAGATATAGTAATATGTTTTTCTTATTAGGATTCAGCTTCACGACTTGGGACAATTAATATATACACGCATCTGAATTTATACTCTTCACGTTGATGCAGATCGGGCGGCTGGTAAGGCATGTAAAAAAGTCCTTCGCCTTAGGCCCCCAATTTTAGGGGGGCCCATTTTTTAGTTAATTAGGTAGGATTAAATTTTAAAATTAAATTAGAACTAAGACAATAAATGCAAAGGCCCATTTTTTAGTTAATTAGGTAGGATTAAATTTTAAAATTAAATTAGAACTAAGACAATAAATGCAAAGGCCCATTTTTTAGTTAATTAGGTAGGATTAAATTTTAAAATTAAATTAGAACTAAGACAATAAATGCAAAGGCCCATTTTTTAGTTAATTAGGAAAGATTAAATTTATAAAAAATAAATTGTTAGAGCTAAGTCAATAATGTAAACGGCTAAATGAAGTGATAGTCAT